GTGACTGGTGTATTATAATACAGACAGACGACACGAACAGTACACGAAGATGACGAATGTGTTGTAATACTAACAGACGACACAAACAGTACACGAGGAGATATGACGGGTGTGTTGTAATACAGACAGACGACACAAACAGTACACGAGGGTGACGGGTGTGTTGTAATACAGACAGACGACACAAATAGTACACGATGATGACGGGTGTGTTGTAATACTGACAGACGACACAAACAGTACACGAGGATGACGGGTGTGATGTAATACTGACAGACGACACAAACAGTACACGAGGAGATATGAAAACTTTGATACTGATTGTGATGTTTCATTTTGTATGTTTGTGTGTATCGAGGAGATATGAATGAAGTGTTGTTATACTGATATGCTGGCTCCAATTAAACAAACTGTGATACCATTACAACTGACCCGCTTCGCTATCACTGGTCTGGCAAGATTTCACAAAACAAAAACAACACTTGTGAAAAGAATGTTAACGCAAACAATAATTGGATAAAACATATTAACCAACAGGTATACTAACGAGCATCAAACATGGTAAACAACAGCTTAACCAACAGGTATACTAACGAGCATCAAACACGGTAAACAACAATGGAACCTACAGGTATACTAACGAGCATCAAACATGGTAAACAACAGCTGAACCTACAGGTATACTAACGAGCATCAAACATGGTAAACAACAGCTTAACCAACAGGTATACTAACGAGCATCAAACATGGTAAACAACAGCTTAACCAACAGGTATACTAACGAGCATCAAACATGGTAAACAACAGCTGAACCTACAGTTATACTAACGAGCATCAAACATGGTAAACAACAGCTGAACCTACAGGTATACTAACGAGCATCAAACACGGTAAACAACAGCTTTACCAACAGGTATACTAACGAGCATCAAACACGGTAAACAACAGCTTAACCAACAGGTATACTAACGAGCATCAAACACGGTAAACAACAGCTTAACCAACAGGTATATTGACGAGCATCAAACACGGTAAACAACAGCTTAACCAACAGGTATACTGACGAGCATCAAACACGGTAAACAACAGCTTAACCGACAGGTATACTAACGAGCATCAAAAATGGTAAACAACAGCTGAACCTACAGGTATACTAACGAGCATCAAACACGGTAAACAACAACGGAACCTACAGGAGTACTAACGAGCATCAAACACGGTTAACAACAGCTTAACCAACAGCTATACTGACGAGCATCAAACATAAACAACAGCTGAACGTACAGGTATACTAACGAGCATCAAACATGGTAAACAACAGCTGAACCTACAGGTATCCTAACGAACATCAAACGCGGTAAACAACAGCTTTACCAACAGGTATACTGACGAGCATCAAACATGGTAAACAACAGCTTAACCTACAGGTATACTAACGAACATCAAATATGTTAAACAACAGCTTAACCAACAGGTATACTAACGAGCATCAAACACGGTAAACAACAGCTGAACCTACAGGTATACTGACGAACATCAAATATGTTAAACAACAGCTTAACCAACAGGTATACTGACGAGCATCAAACACGGTAAACAACAGCTTAACCAACAGGTATACTAACGAGCATCAAACACGGTAAACAACAGCTGAACCTACAGGTATACTAACGAACATCAAATATGTTAAACAACAATGGAACCAACAGGTATACTAACGAGCATCAAACATGGTAAACAACAGCTTAACCAACAGGTATACTAACGAGCATCAAACATGGTAAACAACAGCTGAACCTACAGGTATACTAACGAGCATCAAACATGGTAAACAACAGCTGAACCTACAGGTATACTAACGAGCATCAAACACGGTAAACAACAGCTTTACCAACAGGTATACTAACGAGCATCAAACACGGTAAACAACAGCTTAACCAACAGGTATACTGACGAGCATCAAACACGGTAAACAACAGCTGAACCTACAGGTATACTAACGAACATCAAACACGGTAAACAACAGCTGCGAGCACTTTAAAAGAATCAAAGTTTGGTGATAATTGTCCGTATGTAAACGATAAAATACATGATATTGCCTGAAGGACGACACAACTGTCATTCACAATCAAATACATCCAAGTAATGATATTGATCTACATCGTACAGCTAAACCTGTTTGTCACCTTGGTAACATACTAGCCACAATATACTACTCGGCTAGAGAGAACTTCTCTTTACAATTCTCTTTAGCTCTATTGGTTGAGCGTTAGACTAGTAAGCCAAGGTCCCGGGTTCGATTCCTAGCGGAGGCATTGAAATAAATAATAACCTCTGTTACAAGTTAACAATAGTATATAAGTGGACCTTGTCAACAGGATACATAATCTTCCATCAGAATGAAGTGGAACAGGTTACTCCATAAATGAATTAATTAACAACCTAGTGTATTTGTAATATAGTACATTGTATAGGTATGACTGGTTAGTATGTCCTCGGCACGGACACAAAGCACATGACCTCGATTTAAAGAATTTGTTGTACTCTTATCTTTAAAACACTTAAATATAGAAATAACAGTATATCGCAGTCATTATCTCGCGTTCGAGTTAACGAATACGAAGAAAAAAAGCGATGACGAAAAATAAAAATAGATGAAAAACAATTGTAAAGAGCTGACGTTAAAAACGAAAAAAAAAAAAAAAAATACCAACGTGTCAACACAATCATAATTCAAACTCAAATTCAATTAAACTAACTAAAACTTAAATAAAACTTAGACAAAAGAAAAATTTACACGGAGAATAACACCAGGAGTTCAGGGAGAGTAAGCGTCTTCTTCTTCATCGACTACAACTGTCATGTAAATCTTGGTTTATCCCAGTAAGTAATGTCATGTTACCAAATGACAAGGAACCACAAGGCCAAGAAACATCAAATACGTCCTACTTCATATCTAAAAATAATCCCAGGATACGGGACTGTGTTACTGAGATTGACCGAGTTGTTCTGTGAATTTACACTCATTTTAGTAGTAAGTTTGTCTATCGAATTTCACTTTAAACATCACCTGTCATTGATAACTGTCAGAGTACAATCTAAATAGCGTGCCAAACCACGTGATGTAGCAACAATAGCAGACGGGGCCACACGGGTCAGAAGAAGATCACAGCCGTGTATTAGAGAACATCTTAGATAATAGAAAAACGAGGATCCGTATGTAAAGCAAAGTAACAAGGTTTTGTTACGTAATTCCTGTAATAGTAGGGGAAAGTGAAAGTAGACATTGGGTAACTGCCAAAATCCAGTGAATCAGAGCAAAAGTGAAAGTAGTCAGACAACCAATAGAAGATAAAGAGTGCGGCGTGTCGATGGCTACATGGTCAGCTTGATCAGACTAATGACCAGTATGGTGCGTACTAGCACTGACGCACGTAGTGTACGAGATGGTAAGGAATCGGTATTTTTTCGGCTGTGCTATAATCCTGTGTAAACTACTGTCGAAATAGTGTGACGAGATGGTGGACAGATAGAAACCAAATATACACAATATGGTAGTAATGTACTGTAGTCAATTCGGCTAAGTTTTTTTTTTTTTAAATCAACACTTGGTTAGAGATGTGCGATCTCACAAGACTTTCAATCCATCCTAGGATAAAACACACAAAGACAATGTCGTAAAATTCATATACAAGATCGGATGTAAAAACTGCGACGTATCGTATATCGGAGAAACAGGCAGGTGATTCGGGGTCCGACTTAATGAACATCAGAAAGACGCGGAACTCCAAGAAAGACAATTCATATATATATATGAATAAATAAAAAACTAGATCAGAGCATGCTCAGCCCCCAGATCAATAAATGCGCACTTACAGATCATACAGGAAAATAGTATCATTGGCTGGAAAATGTTAAAAAACGGAGAAAATAAACTTTTCCTGCGACTGTCACACATCTATGACCAAGTGTAAAACAAAGCGTAGCCGAATTGACTACATCAAATTGTTACCGTCTGTGTATCATTTCGGTTTATTATCTGTTTACCATCTCGTCACATTATTTTCGACCTTAGTGTGCATAGCATTAAAGTACAGCCGAAAAAATTGGTCGATTCTTTACCATCTCACACACTATATGTGTCTGTGCTCGTACGCTCCACACAGGTTATTTGTCTGATGAAGGTGACCGTGTAGTCATCGAAACGTCACACTCTAACCTTCTACTGGTTGTGTTATAAGATGAAGGTGACCGTGTAGTCATCGAAACGTCACACTCTAGCCTTATACTGGTTGTTATAAGAACGTTTTTATTGACATTACCAACGTGAAGAAAATGTTCCAAAACAGAGAGACATTGGTTTACTGCCAAAATCTATAGAATCATGGCGAAAGTGAAAGTAGAAAGACATTTGTTTACTGCCAAAATCTATAGAATCAGGGCGAAAGTGAAAGTAGAAAGACATTTGTTTACTGCCAAAATCTATAGAATCAGGGTGAAAGTGAAAGTAGAAAGACATTTGTTTACTGCCAAAATCTGCGGAATCTTGGCGAAAGTGGAAGTAAATCAGAATTGAGTCAGAATCTGGGAATGTTTGTATAAAACCGAAACAAACTCAAATTCAATAATTAATAATAGAAAACTAATCAAAAATCCAAACTGAAATTCAATCAAACTGGGACAAAGACCAAGAGACGAACATCAGTTTTACTGCATGTGATCAGAAAGATTATCGGAACTTGTCATTCTGTTAGTGGTTATGATATCTCATTAGTCAAAAGATGTTTGTTTTGTCGTGTTTTATCTAAATACAGGCTAATCAAGCTGTAGTAGTCACCATCATTCGATAGATAATACACTTTAATGTTACAGAAAATAAAGGTAGGATTCTGGATCAATATATGCGATAATGTTCAGTAAAAAAACAGTCTATCAAAATCAGAGCAAACACCAACTTAAGTTATTTTGAAATGGAATTAAAAAACACGAAAAGTGCTTACCAGAAAAATCACATTCACCACCACTAACACCACCTTGGCGAGATTCGCGCCGCATCCTGCCACCATTTTGATTTGTAGCAAAGTGTCGTCAGGTTTCCTGGAAAATGAAAGCTCTTTTTGTAACAGCTTATCGTGTGTTCAGCAGGATTACCTGTGTCCAGTTACTGTTGTGACGTCACACCTGAAACCAAATGGACATCTGTCAGTACAATACGGCTGTGGGATTAAATATTGATTTTTTCAGTATCTAAATTGGGGACATCATTGTCAGTTAATATTAGATATATGATATACGCATGTGTGTGTTTATATAAGGCGGTTCTCTAGATACATATTCTTGATTTTTTTTTCTGTTTCTAAGTTAAATAAAAGCTTATCTTTCACAATTGTGAAACAAGTCATTCCGGCTTCTATTAATCATTGTTGTTGTTCCGATAACAGTGCGCGAGGGGTCCTACTGAATCCCACGTGCTTGTACAGGTGACCCCCATACCTTTTGATGTTGGACGTTTGAGCAGAATTAATCTGAAGTAAAGAACGTTGACCTCAAATGACCTTTACGTAGTTTGAATGTCACATGATTTTATATTTATACACTTCTACCTCAATATTTCGCATTTGTATTAGGTCAGCGTTCACTTTTCTCAGTTATCACCAAAATTCCAACATTCTGGCCCTTCGCATCATTGACGAGTTCGAGGAAAACGAACGAAACAGTATATTTAGAATATAGTTTGACTCTACTTTAATTCTTGATTTTTATTAAATATTGTCTTCCACTTCAGTGACCTTTATCAAATATTGTTATATGCTCTATATATATGTACGAGATTTTACTAAATGAATTGAAAAAAAACCCATCAAATACAAATATTGGAAACAGGAAGTTATGGGTATGTTATACCAGACACCTGGCCAATACTATTTCGCAATAACTGTCAGTATTCCGTCCTTGTTGGCAGTACATTACCCTAGTGTTGTAGATAGTGTGAGAGGGGGTAGGGGTGGGGTCGACTGTTCCGGTGTTGTAGATAGTGGGAGAGGGGGTAGGGATGGAGTCGACTGTTCCGGTGTTGTAGATAGTGGGAGAGGGGGTAGGGATGGGGTCGACTGTTCTGGTGTTGTAGATAGTGGGAGAGGGGGTAGGGATGGGGTCGACTGTTCCGGTGTTGTAGATAGTGTGAGAGGGGGTAGGGGTGGGGTCGACTGTTCTGGTGTTGTAGATAGTGGGAGAGGATGTAGGGGTGGGGTCGACTGTTCCGGAGTTGTAGATAGTGGGAGAGGGGGTAGGGATGGGGTCGACTGTTCTGGTGTTGTAGATAGTGGGAGAGGGGGTAGGGATGGGGTCGAGGGGTTGTAGATAGTGGAGAGGAGTCGACTGTTCTGGTGTTGTAGATAGTGGGAGAGGGGGTAGGGGTGGGGTCGACTGTTCCGGTGTTGTAGATAGTGGGAGAGGGGGTAGGGGTGGGGTGTAGATAGTGGAGAGGGGGACTCGACTGTTCTGGTGTTGTAGATAGTGGGAAAGAAGGAGGATGGGTAGACACGGAGTCGTCTGTTCCTGGTGTTGTAGATAGTGGGAGAGGGGGTATGGGGGGATGGTTGGTGTGAGAGGGGGTAGACTGTTCTGGTGTTGTAGATAGTGAGAGAGGATGTAGGGGTGGGGTCGACTGTTCCGGAGTTGTAGATAGTGGGAGAGGGGGTAGGGATGGGGTCGACTGTTCCGGTGTTGCAGATAGTGAGAGCGGGGGTAGGGATGGGGTCGACTTTTCCGGTGTTGTAGATAGTGTAAGAGTGGGTAGGGATGGGGTCGACTGTTCTGGTGTTGTATATAGTGTGAGAGGAGGTAGGGATGGGGTCGACTGTTCTGGTGTTGTATATAGTGTGAGAGGGGGTAGGGATGGGGTCGACTGTTCTGGTGTTGTAGATAGTGTGAGAGGAGGTAGGGATGGGGTCGACTGTTCCGGTGTTGTAGATAGTGTGAGAGGAGGTAGGGGTGGAGTCGACTGTTCCGGTGTTGTAGATAGTGTGAGAGGAGGTAGGGGTGGAGTCGGCTGTTCTGGTGTTGTAGATAGTGTGAGAGGAGGTAGGGGTGGAGTCGACTGTTCCGGTGTTGTAGATAGTGTGAGAGGAGGTAGGGGTGGAGTCGACTGTTCCGGTGTTGTAGATAGTGTGAGAGGAGGTAGGGGTGGTGAGTCGACTGTTCCGGTGTTGTAGATAGTGTGAGAGGAGGTAGGGGTGGAGTCGACTGTTCCGGTGTTGTAGATAGTGTGAGAGGAGGTAGGGGTGGAGTCGACTGTTCCGGTGTTGTAGATAGTGTGAGAGGAGGAGGTCGACTGTTCCGGTGTTGTAGATAGTGTGAGAGGAGGAGTCGACTGTTCCGGTGTTGTAGATTGTGTGAGAGGAGGTAGGGGTGGAGTCGACTGTTCCGGTGTTGTAGATAGTGTGAGAGGAGGTAGGGGTGGAGTCGACTGTTCCGGTGTTGTAGATAGTGTGAGAGGAGGTAGGGGTGGAGTCGACTGTTCCGGTGTTGTAGATAGTGTGAGAGGAGGTAGGGGTGGAGTGAGAGGACTGTTCCGGTGTTGTAGTAGTGTGAGAGGAGGTAGGGGTGGAGTCGACTGTTCCGGTGTTGTAGATAGTGTGAGAGGAGGTAGGGGTGGAGTCGACTGTTCCGGTGTTGTAGATAGTGTGAGAGGAGGTAGGGGTGGAGTCGACTGTTCCGGTGTTGTATATAGTGGGAGAGGAGGTTGGGGTGTAGTCGACTGTTCCGGTGTTGGATAGTGTGAGAGGAGGTAGAGTCGACTGTTCCGGTGTTGTAGATAGTGTGAGAGGAGGTTGGGGTGGAGTCGACTGTTCCGGTGTTGTAGATAGTGTGAGAGGAGGTAGGGGTGGAGTCGACTGTTCCGGTGTTGTAGATAGTGTGAGAGGAGGTAGGGGTGGAGTCGACTGTTCCGGTGTTGTAGATAGTATGAGAGGAGGTAGGGGTGGAGTCGGCTGTTCCGGTGTTGTATATAGTGTGAGAGGAGGTTGGGGTGGAGTCGACTGTTCCGGTGTTGTAGATAGTGTGAGAGAAGGTAGGGGTGGAGTCGACTGTTCCGGTGTTGTAGATAGTGTGAGAGGAGGTAGAGGTGGAGTCGACTGTTCCGGTGTTGTATATAGTGTGAGAGGAGGTAGGGGTGAAGTCGACTGTTCTGGTGTTGTAGATAGTGGGAGAGGAGGTAGGGATGGGGTCGACTGTTCCGGTGTTGTAGATAGTGGGAGAGGAGGTAGGGGTGGAGTCGACTGTTCCGGTGTTGTAGATAGTGTGAGAGGAGGTAGGGGTGGAGTCGGCTGTTCCGGTGTTGTATATAGTGTGAGAGGAGGTTGGGGTGGAGTCGACTGTTCCGGTGTTGTAGATAGTGTGAGAGGAGGTAGGGGTGGAGTCGACTGTTCCGGTGTTGTAGATAGTGTGAGAGGAGGTAGGGGTGGAGTCGACTGTTCCGGTGTTGTAGATAGTGTGAGAGGAGGTATGGGTGGAGTCGTGATGCTATATTTATGTAGCTGATTACAGATATTGATAAACATTTGACAATATTATACCTGTCCATCGCTTTATTATAATGGTCACGGCGGGCGTGAGTATACATTCTATAGTAAACTAGGTATGATGCTCCAGATATTCCAGAGATATATCGCGGGACGTACACTCAGTTTTAAACGTCCGCGGGCACGAGCTAACGACGAAGATTATATCCGGCCAGTGTTTGGGGGAAGACGTATACTTGTGAGTGTTTGTGTGTTTTTTTTATACACGTTTTATATTACAATAAACAAATAAACTCAATCACAATTTCAGGTCTGTCGATATTTTCTGTTTTCAATTTTGAAATGATATTTCTCATAAAACCAGGAATGTTGTATAAGATCTGATATTGTATAATAATACCAATACGACTTCATATATATATAATTACAATTTTGTCATTGTCAAGAAAACAAAACATCGCGTGCAAGACGAAAATTTCAAATACAAAGGCGATAAAGCGTCGCTCGCTCTGTAAACAACGTCCCTGACACAGAGCTTACTTTGCTGGCCATCTCGCTAATTTAAATATGAAAAGCACACCAGTGGGAATGTGACAGATTTCTGGCAAAATCTCCACATATCTTAAATATGCTATGTAAATAAAGGTGTTTCTTTAACATTGTGATTTTAGATTTATATATAAAACCCTAGTCGAGAAACAAAATGCACGTTTTTTCATTAAAACGCGAACTCACAGATCTATATATAGGTCAGTGCTTAGCTATAACCTAAACACCATGTTAACAGGAAATTACAACAGACAGAATGTCCTAAACACTGATATTGTAAAATCTGCTGTATATCGAGGAGAAAAATAATTTAATATTACAGCTTTCTGATATAAAATACTATATAACTCACAAATTGACAGATAAGTTCGAGATAAACGAGTGTTAACGTACCGTGTTGTTTTGTCGACAAACATTACACAGTAACAGAATCAATTCTTCAAAACTATGTTAATTAATTACGATGTTTAAAACGACAAAATCGACGTAAAATACCACTTACCTGCTCAGTAGCAGACGCCAGTGTGAGTGTGTCTATCACACAGCACACATACTACGTTAGTGTGTACATAGCTACACGTTAGTGAAATAGACACCTGTCCAAATCACATCTCAGTATTGTCAGCTTAATGATGCTGTATTGATTTATATCGTCTAATTTATAAAGAGGACTACAAACATGATGTAGTTACACTTCAAGTGAACACAAATTAAGAAATATCTTGTGCAGTATAGCCCGGAAATCTAAGAATTGTCAGCTTGACTGTACTATAACATATGGACAGCGCACGGAAATCTAAGTATTGTCAGCTTGACTGTACTAAAAAGTATGTATAGTGCTCCGGAAATGTAAGTATTGTCAGCTTGGCTGTACTATAACGTAATGTATAGTCCTCGGAATCTAAGTATTGTCAGCTTGACTGTACTGTGACAGTGTGTTATTTATGCTTTTTAGGGCATGTTTTGACAATGTCAGAAATGCATATTTTATATCTTCTGACATGGGTCAGGTTGTTAACTTTATATGTATTTTTAATAGGTAACATGTCTATATGTCTGACATGGGTCAGATATTTATAATGTTTTATTTTTAGTTATAGAATGCCAGGTAAGTATGTCTTGTGATGTGAATTGTACTCACTATTAACTGTATGAATCCCATATATGGTAAATACATGTACATGCACAAGTTTGACCTATGACAGCCACTGACCTGTCCAGTGAACCGACATTGACGATTTTGATTGGCTAGAGTCCATCATGAGAGGGAAAGTAAGCTTGATTTGAACATCGGTATTCAGTTCTTTGTTGGAGAACAGATTTAGATTCCCAAGGGGAAAGATGCATTTTTGATTAGAAAGAAACGAAGATACATTATAATTGGTAAGTTATATGTTTATTAATATTTCAGAATATTGTAGTTAATTTATTGTTTAATATATATTACAATAAATTAGTCCTGTAGAATAAATGCATTTTTTGAATATATAGTATATAGTATAATACTTGTATCATTTTTTTCTTTGGAAGTTTGGCTATCCCAAGTTTATCTGCAGTGCTACAAAGTTGCCTGATCATATTTTTAATTCTCAATTTGTGTTGTCTATTGTCATGTTAAACGGTATATGACAAGTATTCAGTAGTTGTATTAGTTTTATAGATAATTGGAGAGTGATAGCGGGAGACAGCATAGTTTCAAGTGTGTATATTAGAGAACCTCTATAAACCTCTACACCATATGTAGGGTGAGTTTACTATATAAAATTAGTACGTTGAAATGTATATTCGATGTTAATGAATATGGATAGTATATGTATGTTTCAGGAAAGTAAGACAATTTAGTCATAGAAGTATTTTCTGTGTTTTGTATTATTTAATCATATAACAGTACTGTATAAGTAATGTTAATTTAAATAATCTAATAATATTGTAAAGTTGGTAAACAATTTGTATTTGCCATAATTTAGATAATAGAGGAAAAAATAGGTAATTATACAGTGCGAGAGTTATGTCCCCTGATGTTGTGTGTGCAATAATAAGTGTTTGTATTTGTTTCTTTTCTAGGGTTTTTTATGCATTGAATAAATGTTATTAAGAAGAAAACAAGCTTTGGCGTGGTGTTTTCACCCTGTTACAGTACTATAACTTATGTATCTTTGTTACTGACCTTGACTGAGGCACCCATTGTTATTTTACCAACATTCTTTAAAACCTTATCAGCATTTTTTGACAGGTTGTTCTGTTTGATGTTAACAATCTCTGAAGAAGAATGAAAACATCTATATATATTTTGTGAAGCTAAATGAACGAAGACCTAGGAATCAACTAGAACTTACTTTAACAAAACAATCGGATAATTTTAGGATTGACATCGACTTTTATGACAAATCTTTTTTTTTGTTTTGTTCGTTTGTTTTTAAGCAAATGATCTCCACTTCTCAGATACCGAAAACGTGTACGTAGAATATATATCAGATGTGAATGGGCCACGGGCAAATAGCAACAATAAGGAATTCGATGACTTAACGGCTCAATGAACACAGTCAAATATCATCAAAGAGGCGTTCGATGACCTCACTGCTCAGTGAACACAGACAATTAGCAATGATGACGGTTCAGTGAACACAGGTAAATAGCATCAACGAGGAACTCGATGACTTCACGGCTCAATGAACACAAACAAATAGCAACAATAAGGAATTCGATGACTTCACGGCTTAGTGAACAAAGACAAATATCAACAAAGAGGCGTTCGATGAATTCACGGCTCCGTGAATAGAGACAAATAGCAATAATGACGGTTCAGTGAACACAGGTAAATAGCAACAATAAGGAATTCGAAGACTTAACGGCTCAACGAACACAAACAAATAGCAGCCATGACTTCACGGCTTAGTGAACACAGACAATTAGCAATTATGACGGTTCAGTGAACACGGGCGAAACGAAACAAGGAGGAATTCGATGACTTCACGGCTTAGTGAACACAGCCGAATATCAACAAAGAGGCGTTCGATGAATTCACGGCTCCGTGAATACAGACAAATAGCAATCACGACAGTTCAATGAACTCATGTCAATAGCAACCTTTAGGAACTCGATGACTTCACGGCCCAATGAACACAAACAAATAGCATCAATGAGGAATTCGGTGACTTAACGGCTCAACGAACACAGACAATTAGCAATGATGACGGTTCAGTGAACACGGGCGAAACGAAACAATGAGGAATTCGATGACTTCACGGCTTAGTGAACACAGACAAATATCAACAAAGTTCTAAGTGTTCACGGAGCCGTGAATTCAGACATTGCGATCTCAGGACAGTTCAATGAACTCATGTCAATAGCAACCTTTCACGGCTCACGTGAACACAATACAGACAAATAGCAATCAGGACAGTTCAATGAACTCATGTCAATAGCAAC